GCAAAAACTCCCAGCTTTGAGACTTTTATAGAATTACAAGTATTGAAAACATAGTTAATGAACAGGAAGACATTAAAATTTATTCCTACAAAAGCAAGGAAGGGATAAACAAATTAAGTGGTGAGAGCTCACAAGATGCTATTTTGAAAAAAATTACAGGCAATTTCATGAAGAAATGTAAATATTAAGGATATTGAAGAATATATTACAAGTGAAACATACTAAGAACAGACAAGGCTAAGAAATTTATTGGAGCAGGTGAACATGTACTGAGAATAAATATTCTGTTCATGTTTTTATTTTATTTTCATTAAGACAATATAAAAAGGTTTTTGCCCCCAAATATTGCTGTAATGTGCATTGATACGTTAATTTTGTCATCTGGAGTTTTTTCTTAAGTTTTAAAAATAGTTTTTGAACAGAACTCCTTAATAGTTTCCCATTTTACTAAGAGCAAAATGCTCTTCAGTAATTATTTTAGGAAGCGTATAGCTTTAGTTGTTTTAGCCCCTCCTTCACTCTCAAGAGGGCGCTGATTTGGATGAGAAAGTACATGGCGCTCATTCTGAGGGCTGTAAGTGCGACGGCTTTAAATCTCGAGCGTGATGGCTCCCAAATCCTCATCTGCTCCTTTGTGAAGGAGCCTCGTCTGTTTTATCAACGTAATCCAGAACAGAAGAACCACCTGGGAGGGGCTGGAGCTGCAGAAGGAAAACGCTACCCTCTTGGGGACTCAGGGGGCAGTCTGGTTCGGTCTGCCAGGACACCCAGGGCTACTTGGAAAGGGCACTTCCAGGCCCCGCTGGGCAGGAGGGGTCAGCCAGGCAGCCCCTCCTCAAAGACACTGGCTCAGGGAAGGCGCCAGCCCTCAAAGCGCTGGAGATCCCAATCGTCTGGGGTGGCTGGGACAGTACCCGGTCTGCTTGGGACACCCAACACCCAAATGACTGTAACTCACACCGGGTGGTAGGACCCCAGGGAGCAAGCGTCGGTCTCAGACTTGCTGGACCTCAGAAGCTGATGGGACAAGGCAAGGAAAAGGAGAGAGGGGGTCGCACGTGAGGGGAAGCTTGCGAGCCAGGGCTGGGGGGAGTGGGCAGGGGACGGGGAGAAGCCCTCTCCTGCTCTGGTTCCACCTCCATCTGCTTCTGTCCTCTTTCTGTCCCCCAGCTGCCACTGCCCGGTCTCCCGCCCAGTTCCCCTTCCCGTCCCTAAGCCAAGCACCCCATCCTCACCTGTCTCCCTCCCACTTACCCTTGGAGTGAACTCAAGCCCTCCCCTCCCTTCCAGCCAATCCCCAGACCCCCCTCCTCTTGGTGGTCTCCACTAGAATGGCCCACAGCCCCCTGAAATACAACTTGTCCTCCCACTGCAAGGACAGCAGGACATTTCCCGTGGGATTTCGGTGAGGGTGGGGGAGGAACTTTATCTCAGAAGCTCAGCTAGCCTGTCACACATCATAGGAGCCCCCCAAAGCAGGGCCCCACTCCCCGTCTCAGCTGATGAATGATGTCCCCTCCCATCCACCTCCCAATATGGAAATCCCAGCGCCTCTGACACCCGACTCTTCACCACGTCTAGCTGATTACCATCCACGTGGATTCCACCCTTGAAACCCCCCGTCCATTCCCATGGTCCTGCTTTAGTCCAGACCTACTCCATCTATTGCCTAGACCAGCACATCCCAAATTGTAATGCACATAGGAACCACCTAGGGACCTTCCGAGAGGGCGAGAGGTCTGGGTGGGACCTGGGATCCTGCATTCCTAACCAGCTCCCAGGTGAAGCCCATGCTCCAGGACCATCCTGGGGCAGCAAAAGCTACGTCACGCCCCCTTCCCTCCCCATCTTAACAGTGGCTCCTGATGGCTTCCAGTGCTCACTCGAAACTTTCATGGCGGTTCATTGCTCAGAGCCAAGGTTTTCAGCTTCAGTCTATGTAGAACCCATCACTGTCCGTATATTTGGATTTCCAACATCTGGAATCTGGAGTTAGGCCCAGGAATTGGCATCTTTGTTTAATGCCCCCAGTGGTTCTAATAATGTAGGTTTTCGCGGGGGGGGGGGTTGTTTTGGTTTTCAGGGGTTTTACTTATTTATTTTTGGCTGCACCTCCAGGCTTGTGGGATCTTAGTTCCCCAACCACGGACTGAACCTGGGCCCCAACATTGAAAGCACCGAGTCCTAACCACTGGACTGTGAGGGGGCTCTGATAGTCTAGGTTGTTGATGGAAAATGAGCCTTTAATACCAAACTAAACGCTTTACCACGGCACTCAAGGGCCTTCTCAACTCAGCCCCATCTTTCTGCCTTGCTCATCCCTGCTACCTTTACGTACCAGAAGTCCTGCAGAACAAACCGTCCACTGTCTGGACAGTAGGTCGTGCTGTCGTCTCCCTCAAGCCCCTGTCCGTCCCCTCTGTGTCCTGGAGGGACCGCTTAGCCCTCCACCTCTGGGGAGGCTTGGTGACCTCCCAGGTGAATCACCGCCCCCATCTTCCTTCCTTGGTGCTGTGGCCACACGTCTCCAGAGCGTGGGAGTGGGTGTCTTAGGGGTAGCTGTTTCCCACTCGTCCTTCCAGCTCAGGAGAGCAGCTTTAGGGCAGGGACAGGTCTGTATTCATCTTTGCATCTCCAGGACCAAGCGGGCTGCCTGCCCCAGAGCCATTTCCTAAAGAATAGTATTTAAAAGGCATCAAATGGGGTTTAGAAAAAGACAATTTTAATCAAATGTATAGCTGGCTGACTTTTGAAGGGTGTAAAAATAAAGTCTGCTTTGTTGGGAATAATCTGTTTTGATCATCTCAGTTTGGGAGAGCAGTGTGCTTTATGCCCCATAGTACCTCCCGTCTGGTGAGCACACAAGCACTGATTAAGTACAAATCACTCAAAGTCAGTATAGATTTAATTACTGTTTGAAGCATTATTTTTGTACTGATTCGTGTCTATGTTTATCAGGTAGCTTGTGCAAACCCTTTGAGGGTGAATGGCCAGGGACTGGCAAGTTGTCATCGGCCTCTTAAGTGCTGTATATATTTACTACATCTTCTTTATCCATATATTAAGAGTATCATAACAGTGCTCAATAACAATTTTTTAATGCAGTGTACGCAGAGTGCCTGTCAGGGGTTGAGGGCTTTTGTCTCCAGCTGCCCAGGATCGGAATAGCAGCTCCTGAGTTTCCTCTGGACTGGATATGGACCAGTTCCCCTGTGGGGCCTCAGTTGCTCAGTCCTGGAGGGATTTCTGTGAGGGTGATACCCATAGAAAGGGTCTAGCACACAGTAGGTGCTCACAGAGCGAGAGCTGTTTTGCATGTATGGCTCACTTAGTAAATCTAAAATATATTTTGGAAACAAAAAAGAAGGAACTAAAAGTGTTGATTGTGACTGTGGTAGTTGTTCTGGGATAATTGTCATAATGTGCTCAGAATGGTTTCATTTTAATAGTGGTGATTGCTAGAAAATGATTGGGTTATTTTGCGTTCATTCAGAGCCTTCTCTAATTACAAGTGTTTCTTGGCTTTGGTCCATTCTTATTCCCGAGGGAGGCTTCTTGCAGGAAAGTGCCATCTGTAGGGCCAGGCGCCCAGGCTGACTGTGGACAGGGCTCGTGGATGGAAACGGAGGAGGGTGTCCAGGAGGGAGGACACGCCTGCATCATTAGCACCAGATCCCACCCGGCAGGTGCCACTGCCCACCTTCAGCTGCAGGGAGCCCTCAGGAGGGGTTTCTATACCACCAAGAGGTCACTATCGTGATTCCTAAGGATTTATGGTGTCTTGCCAAAATGGAGCACTGAGTAGGGGGTCCCAGGTGGACGCCTGCAGGTCTCCTGGGCGAAAGAGCCTTTTTCTCTGTCGAGCCGCGTTGCAGTCTGGGTTTGCCCAGCACGACTGCCCATCCACCCATTAAATACTTTCCCCCATCCCTGAGGTGCCCAAGTGGGTCTGTCAGAGATGAGCTGACCATGACCCCTCCTCCAGGAGGGGGCTTCCCTCTGCTTCCCCTGAGAGCTCAGACCGGAGCAGAGTCCAGATGCAAGGCCATCAGCCCGGAGTCGTGAAGATTACACGAGATGATCCAGGAAAGCTGCCGGCAAAGTGCTTGGCCCAGAGGAGCAGCGACATGACGCCAGCTCTTCATCCCCAAGTCACTGTTCACACCTCACGAGGCAGGGGACTGAGCTGAGCTTCACGACAGTTAATCAGGCTCCGGAGTGTGGGACAGGTGGACGGCCAGGGGCTGGAGTTTTTCGGGGGCCTTTTCCTGTAGCTCAGGAAGGAGGTACTCAAGGCCGGCACCCGGAATAAGGGCCGGGGTGTAGTTGTGGTTGTGGCCGAGGGACAGCAAAGGGGGACCCTGTGCAGGTGGCTGGACCCCCCCTTCCAGCCCCCCAGCCCTGTGACCACAGGCTACATAACCGAGGGCACTGATGCATCTCTGGGCTGCTGTGATGCAACACAGAAATACCCCACCGTGTCACCACGGGCACAGCGAAATGTTCCTATATGTTCAACAAGTTACTGTCGTTGGCAATCCTCAAGCCAAGGTGACCGGGCCTCTTGCAGGGTCTGTGAAGCTGCCTCTCAGAATCCCAGACCTCGTGATGTTTTAAGAGTTTATTCTCCCCTGGCACCTCCACGTCCTTGGCCTCTTCTCTCCCTCCCGAAACAGACAAATACACAAAAAAGGGAAGTAACCTGAACAGCAGGAACTTTTATAACCTGCGGGTAGTTATGGCGTTACTAACCTGGCTTGTTCTAAGGTGAGGCTGCTTCCCAGTGCAGGTAGAAATCGTGCCCGTACAAAAACCTCTCCCCCTACCGCAGACTGACAAAGCCACGCTCCCAAAGGCTGTCACCCCGATCCCCGGCCCACTGTTTTTCTTCCTGAGTCCTCTGTGTCTTCCCTGAGTTTCCCGCCTCGGTGGAGGCTGGCCATCCCCAGGTGGGTGGTGGGCGAGCCCTCTGAGCCCGTTCTGCCTCTTCCAGGGTTGCCATGGAGCCCTTCTGTCCGCTCCTGCTGGCCGGTGTTAGCCTGCCCCTCGCCAAGGCTTTCAAGGGCAACGAGACCACCACTGCGCAGAGCAACTGGACCTCCACGACCGCAGGTAAGGGCTCCCCGCCCCTTCCTCCCTGCCCTCCTGCCCGCACTGCCCACTGCCCCGCCTCCTGATGGCCTTGTGGGGTGATGGGCAGGCGAGTGGGAAGTGTGCTTCTGACCCTGCACGTCTGTAGAGCAGGCTGGCTAGGAGAGCAGTTGCTCCGTATTTGACTGGAGCAAAGCTGAGCACTCGGGAGGCAGCGGACATAAGCTCCCACCCCTGCCCTGGGCTGAGAGTCCGTGTCAGCTTGGTGGGACGGAGGGCAGGATGGCCCCCGTTGTGCTGAACCCAACTCAAACCAGCCCTGAACAAACATGGATGAGTCAGTGGGGGATATTTAAATGCTGGTGTGATAGCTGATGACATTCATTAAGAAATTAATATCGTGCGTGCTTCCCTCGTGGCGCAGTGGTTGAGAGTCCGCCTGCCGATGCAGGGGACACGGGTTTGTGCCCCGGTCCGGGAAGATCCCACATGCCGCGGAGCGGCTGGGCCCGTGAGCCATGGCCGCTGAGCCTGCGTGTCCGGAGCCTGTGCTCCGCAACGGGAGAGGCCACAACAGTGAGAGGCCCGCATACCGCAAAAAAAAAAAAAAAAAAAAAATTGAACCAGGCAGAGAGCATCCTTTGCCCCAAAGTGGGGAAGAAACGCTGCAGCTGTGTGAATGCACCTGCAGATGGCGCAGTGGTCACCGTCAGGGTGACGGGCTCCCCACTGCTGGGTTCACCTAAAAATAAAATGCTTGGTTGATAATTGGCTGTGGCTGTCAGGTGTCCTTACAGGAAGCGGGATGGTTGTGTGACCTGGTGCCCACCAGAACGAATGTGAAAGTCACCTGTTGCAGCCTCTGCAGGCTTGGCAGTGGCTTCTGGTCACTTCCAAGAGGGAAATCATCTGGCTCAGGGCCCCTGTTATGTGAGTAGATGGGCTCCTGTGGCCTAGAATTCCGGAGGACACCTGACCGACTGTGTGAGGTGCCCTTTGAATCTTCATCTGTTCCCCAAAAGAAGGATGAAGCATCCTTTGGGATGATCACAGCGCTTTGCCAGTGTGTTCCAAAATAACCGGAAATCATTTCATTTGCTCACTGAACAAAATGTATTAAATAATCATCAGGAGACAGTATTTTACACAAGTAGTTGGAGGGAAATATCTATAAGTTGTAGAGCAAAATGTCATTGTCCGGATTATATGAAGGATTCCTTAACACTAACAAGAAACAAAAAAAGACAGTAGGAAAATGGTAAAAAATTTGACCAGGCAAAATATGAACATCTAATTAAGTATGTTTGTGAATCATGAAAAGGCGCCTAACCATCTAGAAATAAAGGAAATGCAAATTTAACCGGTATTATTTTACTTATCAGATTGACAGAAATTAAAAGAATTACTAATATCTGGGAGAAATAGGCGCTCCATCGTACACTCTAGGTGAGTGTAGAAGGTGGAAACATTGGAGGTTGGCAATTTGCAGTTTCGATTACAGTTTAACGTGTGGACAGAATACAAAGGGTCCACTTCCAGGAGCTCACCTACAGAAACCGTTGTGAGATACACAGAGGTGTCGACATGAGCTGCAGAATTGTAGGTAATAGCCAAAAAGTTGGAAACAAATCTTGGTTTACCCAAAAAGTGGACAAAGTGAAGAGGCTCCTGTGTGCTGACACTGAAACTCTCCAAGACGCGACCCAACGAGAAAGGCAAGTTGCAGAGCTGCCAGATACCGTATTTCATCTGGTATTTTTTCCCCACACTTCACATCACTGTATCCTGAAGTGTGCCTTAATATCTTTTTTCCTTTCTCAGTGGTTCATAAAGTAATAGCACATCTTATGATCCGTAGAGTCTTAGATGTGATGAGAGAGTCGTTAGGACTCCAGTTATCGGCAAACCTGTAGGTGTATGGAGGTAA